GTTTCACCATGTTGACCAGGATGTTCTCGATCTCTTGACCTCGTGATCCACCTGCCTCGGCCTCCCAAAGTGCTGGGATTACAGGCTTGAGCCACTGCGCCCGGCCAGCTGACTTATATTTTTAAGGAATCACTCAGGCTACTGTGTTGAGAATAAATTCTGGGGAAACAAGAATGGAATCAGGGAGACCAATTAGAAGGTGAATATAGTAATCTAGACCAGAAATGATAATGTCTTAAAACATGGCAGCAGCATGGGTAGCAAGAAGTGATCAGGTTCTAGGTATATTTCAAAAGTCAACTCACCATGATTTGTTCATGTGGAGTGTGAGAGGAAAAAAAAAGAGTGCAGGTGATTTTTGGTCTGATTAGTAGATTGAGATGACATTTACTGAAGGAGAAGCGAGCATGGCAGTGAGGGTGAGACAGAATCGGGAATTTGGTTCTGGACATGGCAAGTTTGTGATGCCTCTAACCATTAAGTGGAGATACAAAATAAGCAGTTGGATATATGAGTCTGGAATGCAAATGAGAGGGCTTAGCTGAAGATATTATAAGCATATAGGTAGTATTTAGAACTAGGAGACTGGATGAGGTCACTTAGGGAGTGAGTGTGGACTGAGGCCTGAAGCACTCCACCTTTTAGAAGTTGGAGAGATGAAAGGAACCAGCAAAAGAGTCTAAGAAGCAACCAGTGAGTCAGGAAACAAACCAAGAGAGTGGTATTCTGGAAACCAGGTACAAAAAGTGTGTCAGAAAGGAGAGCACGTGATCAGCTATCAAATGCTGCTGATGGGTTGAAAAAGATGCCAACTGACCATTAGATTTAGTAACATGGAGTTCATGACTGAACTTGACAAGAGTGTATTTAAAGGAGTGGTAAGGATGAAAAGATTGGAATAGCTTTAACAGAGAATGGGGAGAGAGGAAATGGAGGCAGTGAATATACACCATTGTTTCAAAGAATTCCATCAGATTTCTTGTTTGATAAGTGGTCCTTCGCTCACCAGTCTCTTCAAAGGGTAGAAGACGTTCCCTGGAGAATTCTGAAATGTAGAACTTTAAAATAATCTCCTGTGATTTCAGAGGGAAAAGACAGTGTTTCTGTTTAATACATTGTTACTATATTTTAACAAGCTGTTTTCAGGTTGACAGGTGCAGCAAACCACCATGGCACTTAAATACCTATGTAACAAGCTGCACATTCTGCACATGTATCCTGGAACTTAAAGTAAAATTTAAAAAAAAAAAAAAAAAAAAAAAAAAAAGCTGTTTTCAGCTGGACATGGTGACTCACGCCTATAATCCCAGCACTTTGGGAGGCCGAGGCGGGCAGATCACCTGAGGTAGGGAGTTCGAGACCATCTCAGCCAACATGGTGAAACCCCATTCCCACTAAAAATACAAAAAATTAGCCAGGCGTGGTGGCGGGCACCTACAATCCCAGCCACTTGGGAGGCTGAGGCAGGAGAAGAATTGCTTAAACCCAGGAGGCAGAGGCTGCAGTGAGCCGAGATTGCACCACTGCACTCTAGCCTAGGAGACAGAGTGAGACTCCATCTAAAAAAAAAAAACAAAACTCAGCTGTTTTCATATCATCCTAACTTGTGAAATACTATAGGACTGAGAATAATTGTTTGTATCACAATGAAAATCTGAAGCTACAACATTTTTAAAGTATAGATATACCTTGGAGATACTGCAGGTTTGGTTCTAGACCACTGCAATAAAGCAAGTGTCATACAATAAGTCACAGAAATTTTATGGTTTCTCAGTGCATAAAAAAGTTGTGTTAACACTATACTCTGTTAAGTGTTGCAGTGGCATTATGTCTTAAAAAAGCAATGTGCATACCATAATTTTAAAATACTCTTTTGTGTGTGTGTGACAGAATCTAGCTCTGATGTCCAGGCTAGAATGCAGTGGTACAGTCATTGCTTACAGCAGCCTCAATCTCCTGGGCTCAAGTGATCCTCTCACTCAGCCTCCCAAGTAGCTGGGACAGTAGGTGCATGTTTCCATACCTGACTAATTTTTTCTTTTGTTTATTTTTTATTTTTATTTTTTTTTTGTAAAAGCAGGGTCTCACTATGTTGCCCAGGCTGCTCTTGAACTCCTGGGCTCAAGCAGTCCTCCCGCCTCAGCCTCCCAAAGTGCTGGGATTCCAGGTGTGAACCACTGGGCCTGACCACTAAAACGCTTTATTGCTAAAAGATGCTAGTGCTCATCTGAGGCTGCACTCAGTCGTAATCTTATTGTTGGTTGAGGGTCTTGTCTTGATGTCGATGACTGCTGACTGATCAGGGTGGTTGGTTGTTGCTGATGGTTGGGGTAGCTGTGGCAGTTTCCTAAAATAAGACAAAAAATTTTGCCATATTGATTGACTCTTCCTTTCATGAACGATTTCTCTGTAACATGTGATGCTGTCTGATAGCATTTTACCCACAGTAAAACTTTCAAAATCAGAGTAAATCCCCTCAAATTCTGCTGTTGCTTCATTAATTCAGTTTGTGTAATATTCTAAATCTTTTATTGTGATTTCAGCAGTATTCATAGCATCTTCATCAGGAGTAGATTTCATCTCAAGAAACCACTCTTTGCTCATCAATAAGAAGCAACTCTCATCCATTCAAATTTTTTCATGAAATTATAGCAATCAGTTCCATTTTCAGGGTCCACTTTTAATTCTGGTTCTCTTGCTGTTTCTACTGCAAGTTATTTCCTTCACTGAAGTGTTGAACCCTTTAAAGTCATCCATGAGGCTTGGAATCAAGTTCTTCCAAACTTCCATTAATGTTGATAGTTTGACCTCCTCCCGTGAATTGCAAGTGCTCTTAATGGTGAAATCATTAAGGTGAAAGTACTTGCAATCTTGAAAGGTGAATTTGTTCCAGGTTTGCAATTTATTTTACCCAGAGCCATCAGATGAATCACCATAGCAGCTATAGCCTTTCAAAATGTATTTCTTACATAATAAGACCTGAATGTTGAAATGACTCCTTGATACATGGGCTGTAGAATGGATGTTATCTTAGCAGGCACGAAAACAGCATTAATCTTGCACATCTCCATTAGAGCTCTTGGGTGACTAGGTGCATTGTCAGTGGGCAACAATAGTTTGAAAGGAATCCTTTTTTTCTGAGCAGTGGGTCTCAACAATGGGCTTAAAATATTCTATAAACCATGCTGTAAACAGATGTGCTGCCATCCAGATTTTATTCTATTTATAGAGCACAGGCAGAGTAGATTTAGCACGATTTTTAAAGGACCCTAAAGTCACTAGCTGAATTAGCTCCTAACAAGGGAGTCAGCCTGTCCTGACTGGGCATGGTGGCTCACGCCTGTAATTCCAGCATTTTGGGAGGCCGAGGCTGGCAGATCACCTCAGGTCAGGTCAAGACCAGCCTGGCTAACATGGTAAAATCTCATCTCTACTAAAGATACAAAAAATTAGCCGAATGTGGTGGTGCACGCCTATAATCCCAGCTACTCAGGAGGCTGAGGCAGGAGAATCACTTAAGCCTGGGAGGCGCAGGTTGCAGTGAGCCGAGATTGTGCTCCAGCGTGGGCAAGAAGAGCGAAACTCTGTCTCAAAAAAAAAAAGATCCCCCCAGACAGTATCTGTGAAACACAAAATAACAAAGCACGATAAAACTCGGTATGCTTGTAGCATTTTTGGACAAAATTATGTCAATGAGATATAAACAATGAGTATATCAATAAGAAATAGTAAAAGCAAATCATTTGAGCCCTTTTTATTTAGCATGGAGATGATATGATAAATTCTGTAAGAGCACATCTTGGTTGTGATTTTTATTTATTTATCTATTTTTGAAACAGAGTCTCACTCTGTCGCCCAGGCTAGAGTGCAGTGGCGCCATCTTGGTTCACTGCATCCTCCACCTCCTGGGTTCAAGCAATTCTTGTCCCTCAGCCTCCCAAGAATCTGGGATTACAGGCATGTGCCACCATGCCTGGCTAATGCTTTTGTATTTTCAGTAGAGACAGGGTTTACACCATGTTGGCCAGGCTGGTCTCGAACTCCTGGCCTCAAGTGATCTGCCCGCCTCGGCCTCCCACAGTGCTGGATTACAGGCATGAACCACCGTGCCTGGCCAGTTGTAATCTTTATAACTGTAAGTAGCAGTAAGTGGTGTTGCTCAGATCAAGAAGAATAATACTCACTATGTTCAAAATTGTGTCATGGCTATGTCCCAAGGCAAAACCTTCAGCTGACCCTTCTATCAGTAGCCGTTAAGAAAAAGGTATGTACATATTTTTGCTAAATAGGATAGAAAATCTCACATTCTCTTTTTCACATTTTACGTAAAAGAAAGCGCATCTGATTAAACTGTCTTAAGTCATTTGTGTCTATGTCACTATAATTTCTACCTTTTTAAAACTGTTGTTATTCTTTTTTCCTTTTCTGATTCAGGAAACTTCGAGCTACATTAGATGAATATACTACTCGCGTGGGACAGCAAGCTATTGTCCTCTGTATCTCACCCTCCAAACCCAACCCTGTCTTTAAAGTGTTTGGGGCAGCACCTTTGGAGAATGTGGTAAGTGAGAACCAAGCTGTTCGCAGATGCCCTTTGCTTTCCGTCAGTTGCTCCCATTCTTCTGATCCTCTGTCTAGTATAACAGTTGGCATTTCTATTACCCTCTAATCCAGGAGTGTGAGTGGGGACTAGTTTTCAGACTACTTTATGCATATCAAAACAAGAAGATTATTTCTGTTTTTACTTCCTATGTCAAGGCATTTTACCTCCCCAGATGCAATGGGTGGCCAGGGGAGGGTTTTAGATTTGTTTTAGCTTTTCGGCACTAGAGAAGAGAAGACATGCCAGATTTCATGGTTGTCAACAGTGTGACAGTAAAGGCTATTTCTCAGGCACCATTTTGAACTAGAAGCCTTCTACTATATTCTTCTAAGGAAAGGTCGTAACACATCCTAATTGTAGGGCTTCAGGAATTTTTGGAAAAACTCAAAATTCAAAAATGTTAAGAAATAACCACAACATTTCAGAGATAGCAAGGTGGTGTGAAAAAATATACAACAAACAGAATTTCTATCAACGGATTAGTAATTCTGAACTCAAAATTTAATGCCTATATTCAATATGGGAGACATCTAATAAATGTCAGTTGATAGAAATTCTGTTTGTTGTATTTTTTTCACACCATCTTCCTATTCCTGAATGAGAGGGGGCAGGGAAACACGCTGTTTTCTTTATTAGGAGACTAATGCAGGATTTTGTAACAAAATTACTGATTTATATCAGAAACAAAATAGTAGATAATTCCAAGGTATCAGCTTCATGAGGGAAACCTGGGGGCATTTTATTGATCATTATTTGAGGTACATATTTGAAATCTCCTACATTTCTTCAAAGAATTGATTTAATACTCTGCTCCAAATATAGAAATATATTTGAACATTTTGATTGTATAATTATCCAGAGCTAATTTTATAAAAATAGTCTTTTGCCCCTGTGTACTTATACAATGAGAACTATTCTTTCTCAGGCCACATTAACTTTGAATCATTAGTAGCATAATGATCTGTCAGGATTTAAATTGCATTTTGTTTTTATTAGGATAAAATTTATTAGCTTAAAATGACATTTATTAGATGTCTCCCATATTGAATATAGGCTTGAGTTCAGAATTACTAATCCGTTGATAGAAATTCTGTTTGTTGTATATTTTTTCACACCACCTTGCTATCTCTGAAATGTTGTGGTTATTTCTTAACATTTTTGAATTTTGAGTTTTTCCAAAAATTCCTGAAGCCCTACAATTAGGATGTGTTACGACCTTTCCTTAGAAGAATATAGTAGAAGGCTTCTAGTTCAAAATGGTGCCTGAGAAATAGCCTTTACTGTCACACTGTTGACAACCATGAAATCTGGCATGTCTTCTCTTCTCTAGTGCCGAAAAGCTAAAACAATGCTACTACTGATAGTAATAAAGATGGTGCAATCTATGAAAAAGATTCACCCAGAAGACTCAGAAAAATACTTCAGAAAATTACTTACTGCAAAAAATTGTTTTTAAGTTTGGGAAACTGTTGGAGTTCTCCATAGAATACAGGAAGATACAGACTCTGTTAAACAGGGTAGACTAGACTAAGATAAAAAGCTTTTACCTTTGACTGACATTGCTAAATATAGGTTAGGGAATACAAGTACCAGTAAAATTTAGAAGCAGAATATATTTTCCAGAATACTAAAGAAAAAAGAAACAAGACCAAGTCTCTCTATAAAACACAGAAAACAAGGAAGGAGTTTTTAAAAACTAAATAAAACACATAGTCTAGAACACAATAATACAAGTGAGGCCAGTTAATTCTGTTATAAACCATACATATAAATGGGTTAAACTGCCTTGTTAAAGGCATAGATGTTCTTTCAGGTTGGAACAACAACCCAAATCAGACCCATCTCTGTTCAATGTATATGTCATACTCATAGCCGCTCACAAATGTTAAAAACAGATTCAAGTAATAGAATCAAGAAAGTAAAAAGACAACACACAGAATGGGAGAAATATTTGCAAATCATAATGTCTGATTTAAAAAAACTTGTGGTGAGAATGTATAAAGAATTCTTACAATTCAACAATAAAAAGACAACCCAATTTAAAAATAGATAAAAGGGCCGCACATAGTGGCTCATGCCTATAATCCTAGCACTTTGGGAGGCCAAAGTAGGTGGATCACTTGAGGCCAGGAGTTCAAGACCAGCCTGGCCAACACGGTGAAATTCCATCTCAACTAAAAATACAAAAATTGGCTGGGCACAGTGGCAGGCACCTGTAATCCCAACTACTCCAGAGGTTGAAGCAGGATAATCACTTGAACCCAGGAGGCAGAGGTTACAGTGAGCCAAGATCCCGTGCCACTGCACTCCAGCCTGGGAAATAGAGTGAGACTCTGTCTCAGAATATAATAATAAAAATAAAAATAGGCAAAAGGTCTGAATAGATATTTCTCCAAAGAGATATAGTAATGGCCAGCAAGCACATGAGAACTAATGATAAATAATCATTTGTTATTGATCACTATTTATCACTAGTCTTTATCACTAGTCATTAGGGAAATGAAAATAGAACCACACCGAGATACCACTTCATACCCACAGGGATGAGTATAATCAAAAAGATAACAATAAGTGTTGGTGAAGATTTGGAGAAAGAAAAGGCAAAATGGTACAGCTGCTTTGGAAAACAATTTGTCAGTCTCTCAAAATGTTAAAAGTAGAGTTGCCATGTGACCTAGCAGTTCTGTTCCTAAGTTATACCCAAGAGAACTGAAAACATGTTCACACACAAACTTGTACACAGTGTTTATAGCAACATTGTTGATAATTGTCAAAAAGTGGAAACAGCGCAAATGTTCATCAGCTGATAAATGGATAAATAAAATGAGGTATATCCATAGGATAGAATATTATTCAGCAAGAAAAAGGGAAGAAGTACTCATATTATACTACAGCATGGAAGAACCTTAGCAACATTCTGCTAAGCAAAGAACCCAGTCACAAAAGACCACATATTGTATGATTCCATTTATATGCAATGTCCAGGATAGATAAACCTTATTTATACAGAGAGAGTGGATTCGTGGTTGCCAGAGACTGGGGAAGGGGAAGGGAGGAATGGGGAGTGACAGCCAGTGGGCATGGTTTTCTTTTAGAGGGAATGAAATGCTCTAAAATTAGATTTTGGCCATAATTTTAGGACCCTATAAGTATAAAGTCTTATGCTTTAAATGGGTGAATTGTATGGTATGGCAAACTGAGTTATGACCCCCAGAGATGTGTAGGTCCTAACCCCTGGAACCTGTGAATGTTACCTTACATAGCAAAAATGCAGTTGTAATTAAGTTAAGAGTCTTGAGATGGGGAGATTATTCTTGATTATCCAGGTAGGCCCTAAACTTAATCACAAGTATCTTTATAAGAGGGAAACAAAGGGAGATTGGCATAGAAGTAGATGTGCTGGTGGAAGCAAGAGGTTGGACGTAAGGAGGGGTCCAGAGCCAGTGATACAGGCTAGACAGAGCTAGACAAGGCAAAGAGACGATTCTCCCTTAGAGAGGCTCCCTTAGAGCCTGCGGAAGGACCCAGCCCTGCCAACACCTTGACTTTAGCCAAGTAAAACCAAGAAAGTAAATTTGTGTAGGTTTAAGCTACCCAGTTTGTGGTGATTTGTGGGAGCCGTAGGAAACAAATCCATATAGTGTGTGAACTGTGTGTCAGTAAAGCTGTTTTATAAATGTTAAAAGTGAAATGTAAAAAAGCAGGCAGAAGTCTATCAGAGAAATGCCTACAATAATAAATCATGGATCACAGCGTTAATATCAGACAAAGCCTAATTGTCAAGGCAAACAAGTATTAACTGAGAACCCAGGGTAATTTAGTTTTAATAAGAAGTATTTATTTATTTAGTGACAGGGTCTCACCCTGTCACCAGGCTGGAGTGTAGTGGCGCAGTCTCAGCTCTCTGCAACCTCCACCTCTTGGGTTCAAGTGATCCTCCCATGTCAGCCTCCTGAGTAGCTGGGAATACAGGCATGTGCCACCATGCCCAGCTAAGGTAAGATGTACATATTTATAATGAACCTTTATATTATTCAAGTAACTTTAAAGCAAAAATGAGGCCAGGTACAGTGGCTCATGCCTGTAATCCCAGCACTTGGGAAGCCTGAGGTGGAAGGCCAGGAGTTCAAGACAAGCCTGGGCAACATAGTGATTTGGCCAAGATTCCTCAACTTCTGAATAGTAGAGTCAGGGTAAGAAAAGTTTTTTGTATATACAGAAGACACAAATAATATAAAACAGACATCAGAATACTTCCGAAAGATGTGACTGAAGGAGAATAAGAAAGAGAAAACTCTTTCTTTGGATATCTTAATAGCACCTCAAACTCAGCATGTCTAAACTAAACTTAAATCCCGCTTCCCCCAGCCATTAAGGTGTTTCCAGTATTTGTCCCCACCCTCCCCCACCCCCCGCCACCCCATCCAGTTACGCAAGCCAGAAACTTGGAACCATTTTTGGCATCTTTCTCTCTTCTTTACCCCATAGCCCATCCATTATTTTGTTCTTCATTCATTTCCTAAATGTCTCTCAAACCAGGTCACTTTTCTCTATTTCTGTTGCTACCACCCTAGCTATCAGATCTGATGTCCATCCAGGTCCCTTTTCAGCGGCAAGAGTTCTTTACTTGACTCTAGCTGTCCCCAGCCTCATCTTGCCTTGCTCCCCCAATTCACTCTCCACTCAAGCCACAAGGCTCTGTTCAGTCTCTTGCACAGACTCTGCTGCTTTCCTCTGCAGAACTTTTGTGTCTATGCTCTTCCCTCTGATTTGCCCTCTTTTACCTCGTTTTTTACTTTATTGACTTTTACTCAGCTCAGTCAACACTTTATTCATGAAGTTTTCTCTGACCTTGCTGAGCAGGTCAGAGCACCCTATTCTATCCAAAACTCTCACAGGACTTCTGAACACTTACTAAAGACACAGCTTTATTTATCCGTGAGGTTATTCTATTAATG